CTCTGATAATCCAAAACAAAGGAGACAGAACCACCCATAATTGGAAGCCAATTGGGAGCCCTGAACTCCAAGTACCAACTCTCTGGATCCTCACCCCACCCCCACAAGATGGGCACGGTCACCCCATTTTACATGGCGGGGTGTCGGCTCAGAGGTGCAGGGTGACCTGTGAACAGTGGACCGAAGCTTGAGGCCGGTCCTCGTGATCTCAGTGCCCAGGCCTCCTGCCGGACCTGTGAGAGTGTGGGCGACAGACGGGCTCCCACTTCCAGCAGACATTCTCTTTGGATGCTTGTGTGTGCACAAGCATTCTCTTTGGATCCTACCCAGGGGCTTGTGTGTGCCTGCGGGCGTCAGCCAGGGGCGGCTGAGCGGCGACTCGGGAATGAGATGCTCGTGGTCTTGAGCACATTTGAGTCCCCTGGCGGGCACCCTGCCACAAACAGGATTCGTCTCAGAAGTATTCATCCTGCCCCAGCATGAGAGGAGATTATTCTAAATAACGTACAGTCCAATGCGACATTATTATTCTTAGACTGTAAATCAATAACCAAAATAAAGTAAACTGTTAGGTCTGGGTGGCATAAAATATGGGCACAAAGAGACGTGGGGGTACCGTTTGCTCTAAATCAGTTCAACCACCTTGCAGCTTCTCACATTACAGTCTTCATCTAGCACATTAGCGAGATTAGTACGTGGTTTTTGCAATTAAATTGCATATTTTATCACTTCTCCTTCTTTCATGCTGTATAAACTTCCAGGAAATTACAGACTCATAAACTCCGGCACAAAGCAGGAGGCGGGAGGAAGTGGAGACACCAGTCCGGCAACTGGGGGCAGCTGGGTTTCGCGTTCCGTATTTTTATTTGATTTTAGAATGTCCTTCGTGAAGACTCCCCATTCAAGTAAAGACATTTCAATGGACAGATTGAGAGATGAGTCTTTTGATGCACATAACTGGACCCCTGGGGATTACAGGGTGGTTTTTATCGTGAAGAGGGGATGTTTAAGGTTTTAATAGAGATGGGAGGAGGGGGTGGGTTAGTCTGCTCCAAAAGCAAGAAAAACACATTTTCTTCTGAGTTTTGATTACTGGCTTCACCACAGCCCTAAAACACATGATTGGATATCAGAATCTATTACTTTAGTAAATTAGAGAGAGAAATTCATTTGGTAGGGGCATATCTGGTAAGCTATTTCCTGTGACTTTGTCCTTGTGATGTTTGAGGGACTAGTGCCTTATGCGTGCGCGCGTGCACACACACACACACACACGCATGCACAGTCTTTCATGCACAGGTCAGATCTCTTTTCTGGAAATAACTCTGTTCCCCAGCAGGTCAGAAGCACCGAGTCCAAGCCTTCAGTCAGCACGTATTTCAAGGGCTGGATGTAGAAGGATCTCTCAGTTCATCTTCCAGAAGCTTCTCCTGTGAAGCCTAAAGTGCAGAAAGTCTGGGGACTTAGCTTGAAAAAAAGATGCTGGCAGAGATGCAACCAGCAGTTACACAGCTGTCTGAAGACTCAGTCTCCAGCAGCTACCGGCAGGGCACTAGTGCGCGTGCGCATCAGACGGACCGCCCCCACCCCCACCCTCAGTCCTGAGTCTGCACTGCCTCTGTCCTCACCTAGAAATAGAACCCTCCGTCATCAAGTCATTGTAAGAATAGCTCTGTGTGTGTGTGTGTGTGTGTGTGTCTGTGTGTAGCTTAGACTCGTGCTGCCGCATAGCAAGGATGTGTCGATGGTTCGATGTACAGTGTGATACCTGTAGGGCGTGTAAGAGGCACCCTGGTCCTCGGAATCCGGTGTGCAACCCAAGCTCATCAAATGTTTACCCAAGTGCCAGGCCTCGGGCTGCCGGCCGGGAACACAGACGGGAACCACACTAAGTCACTTCTCAGAAGGCATCAGAGCCTGATGGGGGACGTGACCACAGCACTGGGAAGTCACAGTCTTGGGCGGGATGCTACTAGAATGCCCTCAGGAAGGGCGAGGCCACAGTAGTTTACAGTGGAGTGGCCAACCTCATTCCAGCCTGCCATCCATGGAGGTTGGACAGAGGGTCCCTAACCTCCCTGGACCTCAGTCTTCATGTCTGTGAGATGGGAGAGCAGGAATCCTAGACAGGCACTGGGTAAGTCCCCTACTCTGATTAGCAGCAGAGCTAGGAATGAAACTCAGGTTTTGGACATGAGGTTGCTCTGAGTTTCAAGGACACCTCAGCCACTAGGTGTACTAATGAGGAGCTTCCGGAGAGCTGAGTCTCTTTATCCTTTTCTAATAAATGAAGCTCACGCACTTAAATGTCCTTTGCAGAGGAAGTGGCTCTGTGTCCTCTCATAGAAGATGCCAGAAAGGTTTCCTCTTTTTAAAATGTATTTTTAACTTGTCTGGACAGGCAGGTTCTGCAGTTCCCTGCCCTTTCTCCTTCCATGCCCTTCCCTCTCCAGGCCCTAGTTTGCCCATCTTTCTTCCTTGCATCAAAAAGGAGATGTATGTATCTCCTGAACTGTGGTGGGGAAAATATCTGGCTTGACTCAGCTCCCACAGAGATGCAAAAAAAGTGCCCCAGAATGGAAGGCAAGGTTGAATGAAGGAAGGAGATGCAGTTCATCGCTTAATAAGTTACCAGGTAATAATAACTAAAGGAATAACAGAATAAATGAACGAAGACACTGACCTGTTCACCCCTGGGGTTGGTTCCACCTTGTCTGTCTTTGTTCACTCTCTTCATTATCCATGCCAACCTATGGTATATTTTATGAATTACTCTAAGACATCTTAGCTTCTTCCTAGATTAAGGGAAGGTGGAGATGGATGGGTCAATCATTTCTAATCCCAGTGTCCAAACCCAAGGACTCTCCAAGAGGAAATGAATGGAGTTGAATTCATAAAGTAGCCTTGCAAGTAGACGCCAGTCTGAAGTCAGGCTTGCCAGCGTTTGACCCTGGAAGTGATCACTGAAAGGGCTCAGACTATTGCACTTTTCACATTGAAGCCAGGAATCTGCATTCTGGCCCCAGGGTCTAAGCCTGGAAAAAGCAGGAGTTCTTTTCTTATGAATTTTCAGAAATCAAAAGCATTGATTCCACCCTCAACTGTCTGGGGAGGAGGGGATTATCAAGTTACCTGCCTACACATTCCAAATATCTGGGAGCTGTTAGAACGCCTGATGCCAGGCAGCACCCCCAGACCAATTACATCAGCGTCTTTGGGGTTGGCCAGCATCACCATTTTTCAAAAGATTTTTTTGATGTGGACCATTTTTAAAGTCTTAATTGAATGTGTTACAATATCGCTTCTATTTTTATGGGGTTTTTTTTTTTTTTTTTTGGCTATGAGGCATATGGGATCTTAGCTCCCCCACCAGGGATCGAACCCACACCCGCTCCATCAGAGGTCCAAGCCTTAACCACTAGACCACCAAGGAAGTCCTAGCATCACCATTTGTAAAAGCTCCCTGGGTGATTTCAATATGCAGCCAAGTCTGAGAACCACTACTCCAGGCTAATTTCTTGGTGAGCAGACCCCGAATGGACAGACCCATGAAAAGTTGAATCACCACTTGATGACTTACTTGCACTCCATGCCTGGGGTGCAGGAGAGATCCATGAAGGCTTCCTGGAAGAAACAGCACTTGATCTGGGCTGTGAAGACAGACTAAATCTGGAGAGGTGGCCATGAAGACATCTCTTAACCTTGGACTCAGCCCCCTTCTCGGCAGCCACAACCTCCCCCCAGCAATCCTTCCCCCTCTCTTCCCCTCCAGCAACCCCCGCACCACTCCTCACGCCCCCCAGCAGTGAGCCGAGCACTCCAGACAAATGTGATGTTGGGTGAAGAACATATGCCCTGCCTGCACTTAAAGAGCGTTTCTCTTCCTCTTTGCCAGTCTCATCAGGAAATAAGTTCTATCGACTTCTGCATTTTAGGGACGAGCAGATGGCAAAAGTTTTGATTCAGGAATAATGTCCATCTGAAAATCCCATGCTCGAGGGCCCCTGACTGTCATCAGAGGGCCATCACGGGCACACATTAAAAAGTCCCTATTTCATCCAAAATGGAAATCTTGACCTATTCACCCCCAGTCCAACTTCTCCTCCTGTGTCCCCAGCTCAGTAAGTGGAAGCCCCAGGACCCCAGCCCTGACTCCCCCGCTTGCCCTGTCCATTTCACCGGCTCAGCCCTCCCCCCTCCCCCACCCCCGCCCCGAGCTCAGGGCTCCCCCTGCACCCCATGGGCCGCGCCCCCTCCTCCCCACTGCCCTCCTTCCCCCACCCTCTCCCAGCACTTGTCCAGCCTTGTGGCCTCGGAACTTTCTAGAACACACCCCTCTTTCACAGTGATGACTTCCTCCTGCCTGCCACGTATTTCCTGCATTCATCACTGTGCCTTACAATGGAAGTGGCAGTATTTACCCAGCACGTTGGAGAAAACAAACGAGCTCTTTGTTTCAGGGAACAACCCATCCTGGGGCCTTGGCCAAGGACTGAGGGGCTTAGGAGCTCAACACCATTGTAAACCCCTTGACTCTGACTGACTGTAGGCTCAGGCCTACACGGATGGATTCCAAACAGGAGTGACCATCAGATCCCCAGGCCTCCTCTGACCAGCACTCCTCCCCTATTTCCCATCTAATTTTGGGTCTCACTGACCTGGGCTTTTTTTCCTTAGGAGCACTTACTCCATTGGTAATTATAGTCATACGTATCAGGATACGATTACAGTCTAACTCACCATCAGCCATAAAACTCTCGTAGCTCCACTGGGTCCCAGGCTTCCTAGCTCAGATCAAGTTCTGCTCCTTCTGTGAAGCTTTCAAGTATCTTTTATTCTTGGTGCCCCAGACTGACCACCCTCCCCAGACATATGTGAAGAGCACCGATCATATGTGATGATGCCTGGCACCTAGTAGATGCTCAAAGAACATCTGTTCATGAGGGATGGATGGATGGATGATCGGCTGGATGGATCGGTTTCTTTCTTTAGTAATTTACCCGTTCCTGTGCAGGTTGTGCTCTTTCCTTGTGGCTGCGAGCTTCCCGACGACCCAGTCTGGCTGCCCCTGCCCACTGCCCATTAACGGCCCGGCTGCGGTGAAGGTAAACCTCTGCAATTGGGTGTCCCGCAGCTGCCAGGCGGCGTAGCCCAGGTGTCATGTTCCTTTCTCACCTGGCCTCAGCCTCTATGCCTGGCCGGATGGATGGATTAGAAGGAGGATAAATGATGGTAGATCTTGGCCCTGCTGAACCCTCAGGCTTCCTCTCCCACCATATCACCACAGACATGCCAAAAGTTCACAAAATTGAAAGATGTCATGACTGTGTTCCTACGTGGTTTTGTCCTTTTAAAAGAGGAGCCATTTTGCTGTTGAAGAGGTTTTTCTGCTCCCAGGAAACACTTCTGAAAGGAACAGGAAGAGGTGTTTCCAAAAAGTCATTTCTAAGATGCAGCTTTGATGTCAAAAATAGCTTGAACAAGCGTGGTAGCCTTGTTCATGCTCCCTTGGCTGCTGGGGAAATGGCATCAACACCCAGGGGGAAGCCAAGAATAGCTTTATTATTAAGCATCTTTCATCATCAAGCATGGGACACCAAGCAGAGAGAAGGTTGTAAGTCCAATCCAATAACTCTGTGGCTGGACCCAGCTGAGGACTCAAGGGGAGCTGTTGCCCATGGTAACAGCAGTAATATTAGCTACAGTTCTGGCGGAGCGTGCCCCATGTCTCTGCTAGGCACTCTACTGAGAACCGTATGCACAGTATTTCCTTTAATCCCACCAAATCTATACTGTAGGAACCACCATTAGTGGACTCTGGATCCATGCCAACTGGGCTCAAATCCCACCTGCGCCCGCTAGTGGCTATAAGAAAAACAAATGCAAAAAGGCAAAATGGTTGCCTGAGGAGGCCTTACAAATAGCTGAGAAAAGAAGAGAAGTGAAAGGCAAAGGAGGAAAGGAAAGATAAACCCGTCTGAATGCAGAGTTCCAAAGAATAACAAGGAGAGATAAGAAAGCCTTCCTAAATGATCAATGCAAAGAAATAGAGGAAAACAATAGAATGGGAAAGACCAGAGATCTCTTCAAGAAAGTTAGAGATACCAAAGGAACATTTCATGCAAAGATGGGCACAATAAAGGACAGAAATGGTATGGACCTAACAGAAGCAGAAGATATTAAGAAGAGGTGGCAAAAATACACAGAACTATACAAAAAAGATCTTCATGACCCAGATAACCATGATTGCTCACCTAGAGCCAGACATCCTGGAGTGTGAAGTCAAATGGGCCTTAGGAAGCATCACTACAAACAAAGCTAGTGGAGGTGATGGAATTCCAGTTGAGCTATTTCAAATCCTAAAAGATGATGCTGTTAAGGTGCTGCAATCAATATGCCAGCAAATTTGGAAAACTCAGCAGTGGCCACAGGACTGGAAAAGGTCAGTTTTCATTCCAATCCCAATGAAGGGCAATGCCAAAGAATGCTCAAACTATCACACAATTGCACTTGTCTCATACCGTAGCAAAGTAATGCTCAAACTACTGCACAATTGCACTCATTTCACATGCTAGCAGGGTCATGCTCAAGATCCTCCAAGCTAGGCTTCAACAGTACATGAACTGAGAATTTCCAGATGTGCAAGCTGGATTTAGAAAAGGCAGAGAAACCAGAGATGAAATTGCCAACATCCACTGGATGGTTGAAAAAGCAAGAGAGTTCCAGAAAAACATCTATTTCTGCTTTATTGACTACGCCAAAGCCTTTGACTGTGTGGATCACCACAAACTGTGGAAAATTCTTCAAGAAATTGGAATACTAGACCACCTTACCTGCCTCCTGAGAAATCTGTATGCGGGTCAAGAAGCAACAGTTAGAACTGGACATGGAACAACAGACTGATTCCAAATAGGAAAAGAAGTACATCAAGGCTGTATATTGTCACCCTGCTTATTTAACTTATATGCAGAGTACATCATGAGAAACACTGGTCTGGATGAAGCACAAGCTGGAATCAAGATTCCTAGGAGAAATATCAAAAACCTCAGATATGCAGATGGCCCCACCCTTATGGCAGAAAATCAAGAGGAACTAAAGAACCACTTGACAAAGGTGAAAGAGGAGAGTGAAAAAGCTGACTTAAAACTCAACATCATAATAACTAAGATCATGGCATCCTGCCCCATCCCTTCACGGCATATAGATGGGGAAACAATAGAAACAGTGAGAGACTTTATTTTCCTGGGCTCCAAAATCACTGAGGGCAATGACTGCAGCCATGAAACTGAAAGACACTTGGCTCCTTGGAAGAAACGCTATGACAATCCTAGATAGCGTATTCAAAGGCAGAGGCGTTACTTTGCCAACAAAGGTCTGTATAGTCAAAGCTATGGTTTTTCCAGTGGTCATGTATGGATGTGAGCGCTGGTCCATAAAGAAGGCTGAGCACCAAAGAACTGACGCTTTTGAACTGTGGTGTTGGAGAAGACTCTTAAGAGTCCCTTGGACTGCAAGATCAAACCAGTCTTTCCTAAAGGAAATCAACGCTGAATATTCACTGGAAGGACTAATGCTGAAGCTCCAATACTTTGTCTCCCTGATGCAAAGAGCCAGCTCATTGGAAAAGACTCTGATGCTGGGAAAGATAGAAGGCAGGAGGAGAAGGGGCTAACAGAAGATGAGATGGTTGGATGGCATCACCGACTCAATGGACACGAGTTTGAGCAAGCGCCAGGAGTTGGTGAAGGAAAGGGAAGCCTGGCGTGCTGTAGTCCATGGGTCACAAAGAGTCAGACACGACTGAGTGACTGAACAACAACAAGCGGCTGTTGTTTTGGGGCAAGGTAGATCATGTCTCCATCTCCGGGCTTCTCATCTGTGAAATGGGAATGATGCTATTGACTATTTTACGGAGTCATGAGAATGAAATGAATTCATATATACATGTGAAGTGCTTAAAAAATAGTCCAGGGACATTAGTCGTTAGCTATTATTATTACTAACTTCATTTAACAAAGGAGGAACCAGAGAGGCTACATAGTAACCAAGCCGCAGGGCCGGGGTGTGAATCTGTCTCTGTCCAGTCGAAGCCCACGTTCCTCACCGCCAGGCGGCGCTGCCCTGATACGCTGGCGGTGTGGTCTCCTCCGCGGGTCCTTCCGCCTCTGCTCCATCACAGCCGGCAGTCCCACCCTGGTACATGCAGCCTTTCATTCCATAAATAGCTTCTGCAGGATTGTGGCGTGCCAGCACCGGGTGGAAACATAAAAAGATCAGATATCATCCCTACTTCAGATGACGTCTGCCTGGTATTTAAAGACCTGGCTTTGAGTATTCAGGTACAAAGCAAAAAAGAGAAAAGAGCTGTGTGTACCACATACCTACTGCGCGAGGTGTCAGGCTCCTCCTCATCTCCATCTCACTCTAGGATGTATCACTAGCATCCTTGGTTTATAGACATGGGGTCCAAGGCATAGAGAGCTTCCATCACCTGCCCAAGGTTGCACAGTCACGAAGAAACTTGGAATAAGGTCTGTCTGATTTTGATCCACTCAAATCATTCTGAGCTAAAGGATGATTCACACTCGCATGGATGACGGATGCAGCTCCGGGATATATGGGTCCTGAGGACACTGTCATTTAAGCATCACAGGGCCTCCAGCTGAGAGGAACTCCATGGGAAGTGCTCAGATGATGATGACAGTCAAGTAGCCAAAATTGTCAATATTTTAGAAACGTGTAGCTTCCTGAGATGGACTTTAAATGTAAACTTTAGGAGATCTATGACCATTACAGAAATGTAATCAGTAATTTAATATCTACATACCGAAAGGACACACAGGCATGCACGTACACACAGAAGTACGAGAAAAGCTGGGGAGATGCAAATAAGATCGATGGATCATAGTAAACGATCTCTTCCCTGTGGTCTCACATTACTGTTTTGCAAACTGTTACTACTGAGGGAAACTGGACAAAGTTTCTTTCTGTATTATTTCCTATGATTGCTTGTGAATCAATAATTAGGTCAATAAAAGTTTCAATTAAAAAATCAACAAGAAAATAAAATCCCAACAGGAAAGTGAGCAAAGTATATGAACAGGCAATTCATGGAAGAGAAAGCATAAATAGTCAATAAACATATGTAGAAACAATAAAATTATAACAAGGAAGTATCATTGCACACCAAGTTAACTGCTAATTTTTTTAAAAAAAGTTGGTAACACCAAGAATTGGCAAGGATAGAAGAAAAAAGGTACTCATTCACTGTTGTTGAGAATGCAAATTGGTGCAAGCGCTTGGGAAAGCTACTGGCAGTATCTAGTAAGCTACAGATGTGCACGCTCTCAGCAACTCGGCTTTAGGTCCCTACCCTGGAAATGCTCTCCTGTATATATACAGAGAGACATTTACAAAGACACAGGCTGTAGCGCTGTTTGTGTAACAAAATCACCCCCACCACTCTCCAGCCACAGAGGACAGAAATAGCAATGTTTGTACAACGGAATACAGGTAGAAGTTAAAACAGCTAAAACTGATCAACACGGAAAAAACTTAACAACAAACCGTGATGCAGGGGGGAAAGCAAGTTGCAAAACAATGGGATAGCCTTTATTTAAAAAAATTAAGTCTGTAATACTCTACTGTTTATTGCTGGTATAAACGTATGTATATAATGGAAGGGCAAATACACACGTGGAAATTTTATGGAAATGCTGTACATAGGAGAGCGTACCTCTGCCGAGAAAGCAGAGGAAAGGATGGCGGTGAGCTTTGCCTGCAGCTGACGTTTGATTTCTTTAAAATGGAGAAAGACGAAGGAAATGTGGCAAACTGTATAGGCTGCATTTGAGGAATGAGTACGGATGCGGGGAACAGGGGTTTTTCATACAATTTTAACAAATTTTGGGGTGTTTCAGAATTCAAAAGAAAAATAACGATTATGAGAGCATTAAAACTGCTGATCCAGCAACTCCTGTTTTAGGAATGTAGCCAACAGATAATTTTTCACTTGTATTCATGAACACATGTTTTTCTTCTAACATTGTTTGTAACAGTAGAAACCTGAAAACAAGTTAAATGCCTATTCATTGGTGACTGATTACACAAATTATGTAACATCTATAAAATGGAATACTATGCAGCCATTGAAATGAATGAA